CACACTATATCTAAAGTAATGAAAGCTAAATGACTTACCACCATGTTACAAGAATGCTACAGTTCACAAAACAAGATAAATAGAAGGAAAAAAAATCACCTCTTAGAAAGGAACATTAAACTTTAGTTGCCTAGAAAGTAACTCAAAAATATCTCTAGCATTAAATCTCATCTCTGATTAGTTGAGTGGCAGTAATCATTTAATTAGTGGCATCCAATATAATCTTGGAGGAAACATTTTCTGTGAACCAGAGACTGCATGAAAAAGGGGGAAAGATCAGAGGTACAGGACTTAAGAGATCTGAGTTCCATTCCTGGATCCCCCACCAAAATCTCTGGGCCTTGGGACAGTTATTACTGTCTGAGCCGCAGAATCCCCACCTATAAAAATAAAGCCAATAACATCTCCCCCAGAGTGAGAAGATGGGGAATGATGAGCTATCATGGTAAGGAACACAGCAAGGTGGCAGAGGCATTTGGTCAATATTGCTCTACTGCAGACAGCAAAACATTAATCCTGTGAAGATACAGGGAGGGATGTCAAAAAGGACAACTACCATACTAAGCAGCATTACCAGGACCAAGTACTCATACCATCCCATATGTGCACAGATGGCATGCCCCTTCTCCCTCTCTGAGGTTACACAGGTAGGAATGGTCTATCTACAAATAACAGTAATGGATGCTTAGACAGGAGATTGATATAGTAGATATCCCTGCTCCTTTTTTTATTTTTATAATAAAGATAACAATGACCAATTTACCTACCAAAAGGACAAAGAAAAGTGAATATTACAGATAGTAGATTTTTGATGTTTGAGGTCCTCAGGTTTATTTCTTAAAGTTTAATTTACTTTTGCAAAGTAGTCTGTGAATAGCTTGAATTCTGTATAAGATACCAGCCAAATCTGACAACCCTGAAGGACAAAGACACCAAGATCCTGATTCTGTCACCCATCATCATTCCCCTTACTTAACAGCATTCTTCTTACAAAATCTTGAGGAGCCGTCTCTCCCAAAGGAAGATCTCATCTCTGTAGAACCTTCCACTTATATAGTGCACTGAAGAAATTACAATGGCAACTAACTTACACAAAGACAGACAACAGGCTTGAACTCAAAAAGCACCCCAGCAAGTCACACACACTATTTCACCATCTCCTTTCACAACTGCTGGATGAATAAATTCCATGGAAATTTCCTAAAATAAATACTGTATAATTCAGATACCAAAAATATATAATTATGTCATTGTGTATTACAAATACAGATTTTAGTACCATTTTTATTAATCTCAATGTTTAAATTTAATGACCTCAAATCTTTTTATAATATAAAAGTGATTAGCAATTTTAAAGATACATTTCACAGCATCTGAATGAGTTACTGCACATAAAAATACAAAAGCGTCATTATAGAAACCAACAAAATTGTGAGATTTCAACATATCACAGCCCTCTCTCCTGCATAACTTTTAA